CCCTCCTCCCTTTTTTAAAGATGGGGACCACGTTCGCTATCTTCCAGTCACCTGGCACCTGGCCCAAGCACCACGAGCGCTCGTAAAGCTGTGCCAACGGCCCCGAAAAAACCCCAGCTAGCTCCCTCAACACCCTGGGGTGGAGAGCATCTGGACCCGCTGACTTGAACACGTCCAGCCCCTCCAGAAGCTCTTCCACATCCTTGTTGAAGTGTGGCACCCAGAACTGGACGCAATACTCCAGCTGCAGTCTCACCAATGCTGAGTAAAGCAGAAGAATCACTTCCTTGGTTTTGCTTCAGATTAATAGACTCATAGATGTTAGGGTGGGAAGGGACCTCTGTAGGTCATCAAGTCCGACCCCCTGCCCTGGGCAGGAAAGACAACCCTAGCTAGCTGCTTGTTCAGTCTCCTTTTGAAGACCACCAAGGTAGGGGAGAGAAACAAAATGTATTGGTTGATAAAGTAATGCCTGAGCAGTGTGTTGAGAACTTTTCTAAAAATAGAGTTACCAAACTACTCTGCTTAAGAGGAATGTTTAATATTTTGTTTTGATGACTAGGAATCTTTAGGCAGTCCATCAGTCTGGGTAATTCAGCACAATAGAGACTGTGTACATATTATCAGCATCTTTTTTTTTTCCCCCAAACACAACATTCAACATCCACTTTTCCCTGCCTAATCAGCACAGATAATAAAGCAGCAGCTTTTCCAGGGGCTTCTCCATCTCTTCAGGTGGGACTGTGATCCTAACACTCCATTCCTATCCCAAGAGGCTAGATAATAGAGAGGGTTAAAGGCATTTGGCCATGGTTTGTGCCTCATAAAACACCTATGAGGCATACTCTCTTGTGATCTCTCTACTACTTGTTATGCACATTAAACAGGAGCATCTTGAATTCTTGGAGAATTCCTTCAGTATCTTACTTTGCATTGGTGACTATTTTCAGGCTACAGGCAACCATAAACAAAAGAAAACAAAAACTAATTTATCCTTCTCCTGTTTTCTCTAAGGAATAGGTATATACAATGCTGCAGCCAATAAAAGAACTTTGCTTTTCATCAACTTGCTGCTTTTGCATATCATTTTTTATTTTGTGAAAAGACTTCCAACTCTAGCCTCTCTACTGAAAGAATCTCATTTGATTTCAGTGATGGCAGACAAGGTCCTTAATGAACAACACAAATAACATGTTTCTGTTTCTGAGGTATCCTAGTAATCTTATTTAAAAGAAACACAGCAGTTCAAGCAATGAAAATTGCACTAAGACATATTTCAGATGATCAAAATGAAACAGAACTCCGATGGGGAAATACAAGGTAGCAGCACTCTCCCAAGAGAAATCTCCTTAATACGTAGGACTAGAAATAGACAACTGTGGTCACAACAAATATTTTTTACTGGAAAATATCTATAATCATTCAAAGTGGTCCCGTGTTCAAACTATGTTAATATTTCTGTAAAAATAAGAATGTTTTTGTATTTTAATAGCATGTAACATCCTTTAAATTCCATAGAATCAGAGAGCTGGCAAAGACTTCAGGAGTCAAATAGCACACCCACCTTCACAGTTGCAGGAATCACTGTTCTTAAACCACTCCAGGCAAATGTGCATCTAGCCTCCTGTAAAAACCTCCAATGAAGGAGATTCTACAGCTTCCCTAGACAGCTTGTTCCATTGCCCTATTATTACTGTTCGAGAGTTTTTCCCTGAGTTTTAATCTTAGCCTCCTTTGCTGTAGTTTAAACAAATTTCCAGTGGTTTAAGTGACTACTTTATAAAAATGTGCAAACAAGATGACATAGAAAAGTACCTGCAGAAATGGGTAGGTAAGTGGACAAAAGTAGAATACTGAAGATTAGAGAACTATTGGGCATATTTACAACAAAAAGCAGCATAAAGAAACAGCGATAGGAATATCAAAAACCTGCATTTTGCCACCAGGGAAAACAATTTCTATACATTCTTTAAAGAAAATGGTGAGACCTGTACATTTTCAGCTACTCACAAGGCTATTTTGTTTCTTTTGGTCACACAGAAATTGGGCAGTCACCTGATTTGCTTAGGCACTCTTGTAAGCTACACTAGATGCCTGTCTACATCTTTAGGTTCCTAATGTTCTTTGTATTTCAGGTAGTTGTTACAAAAATCAGACGCAGTCATGCAGTTGTGTGATAACTATTCATAAAAAGTATATTTACTTAGTTAAAACAAGCAAATTTAAATCTGTATTTTTCTTGTGAGCAACTATTTAATGTCTGCATTTATGTTTACTATGCACAGTCATGCAAGCAAATGTAATTTGCTCTCTGTCTGAAGTTTATGTCTCAAATGTGATATCCAAGGGAAGATGTTTGTGACCAATTCTCATCTTGTAAGCACTTTCTTGTAACCATCCACTTAATTAAACATGGCAGGTTGTACTCCTAAGAGAAAATGTTCTGTGCAATGCAAGAACAACTGGACAAACTATTTCCATTAGTTGCAAGAATATGCAATATGCAAGAAATATGCCCTGAAAGAAAAGATTTCAAATTATGGCTTTACCTTAAATTCAGTGCTAAGTGGAGGTGCAGGGGAAAAGAGCCTTTATATTTTAGGCAAAATTTGCTCTAATACCCAGTTTAATTGAGGGCAGAGGCAAACACGACTATTCCTTGCTCAGAATAAAGACTTTTTTGCAATCTACTTCTAGATAAAATAGACAATAAAAAGATATTAACCTCGGCTTCAGCGTTGTGGGCAACATTTCCATTTTGTACTGGTCCTGAATCAGTTGGTGGTGTTATTGCAACTTCCACTTTTGCAGCATTTGGGAGTTCAATTTTTTCTGTTAGATCATCCATAAGCAGGGGTGGAGGGGCAGAGGAGAACAAAAACAAATTAGTAACACTGCTTTCAGTCTATATGAATTATCAAATGTTACCAGTAACATTCATAAAAAAGATAAATTCTGGGCTCAGTTACATTGATGCAAATTACTCCAGAGAACAAACTTTCATACATGTAAATTAGAGTCAAATTTGGACTAAAGAGGGGGTTGCCTGGATAAGGAATGAAGAAGCTGTTCCAATGTTACTTGTGTTTTTTAAAAGAGCTCTTTATTATGTTTAAATTCTTAACTGTAACTTAGGACCTATTTGGTGCTCTTTACTCATGTCATACTTTTGCTGAGCTGTGGTAATCTAACAGAATTGAGTCAAAACTGACAGTAAACCATTCTTCATAAAGAATAATAAAATATGAGATTCTTTCCTGGCAGGTGGTATGTGGGATAAACTCATGAAGAGATGGAGAAATTTGACTTGCAAATTTTTCCATCTGCAATTAGTAAAGCTGGATTTCTGTTAAGAGTTGCCATAGAACTCACAGGTGTTATGACTATCATATGATCTGAAATATTTGTGACTTGACATTTGGGGATGTCTATATGCAAAGGATGGGTGGTGAGGAGTTGTAAAAATGACACCTCTGAGAACTACCAAATTAGATCCTGTACTGCTCTGCAATTCTACAATGACAAAAAGGCTGGGTCAGTGAGGTTTTTTTGCAAAAGCTAGACTACAATTTTGTCCCTAGTTGATGAATTAAATAAGAGTCAGTTTAAAAATATGGAAATTGGTGTGTAAGAATTAATTTTGTGCAAATTCCTGTCTTCAGAATTGTCAATTTTCTCATATGACATTCACATTCTTTTTACTTGCACCATGAATGGAAAAAGCAAAGGTACTAAACAATACCCAAGTTTTCCAATAGTCTTACAAATAAAGTCCTCATGAAAATTTCCTGCCAGGATAAATGGGAAACAGTAGGCAACAGGGGTTATTCAGTTCAGTTCTTTTCACCATGATTCTCTTGGGATTGTTCTAAACAAGAAGCATGACAAAAACTCTTATTTAAAAAGAGCACTCATCAGACGTCCTTGGATAATCAGATGACATGAGAAGGAGCAACAAACAATTACTTGAATAATATGCATTTTATAATACCTTGCCGCACAAAGAAGTAAATATAACTGTGCGGCTTGCATTACTGCTGTGATCATGTTTGTTCTGAATTAAAATCCAAGAGCTCAGGATTATTCCCCTACTTGTAAGTCTTCCTCCTTCCCAGCAATATGATGCATTAACAAAACATTCTCAACTAATTGCTTGACTCAGTAGGCAAAGTTTATCTAACTATAGCACAAGGTCAGGGCAAGTGTCAACTGATAGCATGGATTCAATTTTTAATCAGATACATTAAATAGGCTTTTTTGGTTGAACATTCGGTGGTAAGGCAGTGGCTAAAGGAGAGGTGACTAAGGATTTTTTAACAACTACACATGACTTCTGATCTGAAAGACACAGTCTTATCCTTTGTCAAATGCAGAGCAAACAACTTAGTGCAACAGCCACGTACAGGGCCAGAGGTGATGGAATTTTTCCAAACCATAGTCAGGATATAGACCAGCTATCAAACTATACCTCCAATTGTTGACTCCAGCCCACAGTAGTGACTAAACTCCACTATGCAATGGGAACACAAACATTTTGGCCACTGGATATGCAACGAGTGTGAACCTAGTGACTGTTACCCTGTTCTACCCCTGGAGTTGAAGTATTCTACAGTTGATGAACGCATATCTGCACCTTCCTTTTGCAAGACACAGCCTTTGATTTTGAGACCTTGTATGTGAATGCAAGATATGCAGGTTTTGCTTCAAAGAGAATGAATCATTCACAGCAGCAATGTGTATTTGAGGGCTTTTGGGTTTACATGCTAGATTTCAAGTCTTTTTTATGGCAGCTGTTGAATTACATATGCCACATCATGCACACATCTTGCTTGGGAATGTGAAAATTGTATGTAGTATTGCAAACTGTACACATGGTAGATCTCAGGGAGCATTTTGCACATGCAGAGTACTCACCCGAAGCATACGTCCCTGGTATTGCCATAAAGAAATACATAATCATGATCAAAATGGTGTTTTCAATTGTTCCTGTCAAATTTCTGTGAAAACCCATGGATTTGCATGAACATAACTGAGAGCATAAATTGTCTTCCTATTCCCATTACTTTTAATTCTACATGTTTCAGTCTTGCACAATGGCTCCCTGGATGCCTTTTTTGGCTGTCTTTTCATACATAGGAGCTCCCATTCATCCTGATGGGGCAGAGTTTCAGGCACAATCCTGTAGAGAGTCAGAATAGTTTTTAATAATTCATTATAGATGAATCAGAGAGGAAAATTTAGCCCCAAAAAGAATATGGAGCTTTTATCTAGGGTTCATAATAAATGACTAGGCCTAAAATTAAAGTAGATACATTGTTGTATGGTTTCATATGACATATAATCTGCCAGATTCTTCACTTGGTTATGCCAAAAGTTCCATCCTGAGCCCAGTGGCCCATCAAGCTAACATAATTAGGACATACTGGTAGCAAATTAAATGCCGAGGAGTTACTGTGCATGCACGGTAAGGCACGTATAGACAGCTGACAAGAAGGAAATTTGCTCCCGGTCAGCCAGGCAGCAGAGGGTGGGTGATTGCTCCCTGCCCATGGGAGCTCCCTGCTGCTGGATCAGGCTCCAGTGGCAGAGCCTGGGTGGGGATAATGTCTTTATGTCCCAGCAGCAGGGAACTCCCAGTCCTGGCTCCACAATCAGGGAATCCCTGCCCAGCCAGCGGGTCACTGCTAGCTACCACACTGGTAGATAGGGGCAGGGGGCTGGGATCTGCCCCTCCCCTGCAGCTCTTTCCAAGTCCCCTGTTCCCAATCGGGGAGCTGGGGCCAGAAGCTCCCTGCTGTTGGGGCAGGGAGACATTGCCTCAGGCTAGGCTCTGCCCCAGCAGTAGGCAGCTCCCAGAGGCAGGGAGCAATCTCCCAGCTCATGCCAAGAGACAGCTGTCTGCTGGCCCCATGCCCTCTGCCATCCCCTGGGCTAGCACCCAGTGGTAGTCTGGAGATCCCCCTGGCTGCTGCAGGGGGGGCAGAGCAGGATGGGAACAGCCATCTCTGAGCTGCCCCTATTGGAAGCAAATCTGCTCCCAAATGTGTGCACATGTAGACACCTGCCCAGGACGTGTAAATGGCCCCACTGGGTTCTGTAACCAACAGCACAGAAGGAAATGGTTGGTATCATGGTCACCTGCTTTGACCCCCTAGCCTAAATGACCAGGTACCCTTTCATGTCTGGGTCAGCTTGGAAGTAGCCTTTGGTGCAAGTCTAGAGTAAAGATCAAACTGGCATGTCTACATGAGACATTTACTGTGGAGCTAACTAATTAGCTCTGCATTAAACATTTCAGCTTCTACACATGCCTATTAGGGCACAGGAAACTAATAAACTCTGCAGCAGGGTAGCACTTGTATTTACAAGTAGCAGCAGCACACCTGTAGATGCTGCCCTGGCTGGCTGGGGCATGAGGGTGCTTCAGTGTGGGGGTTACCTGCTGGCTAGTCCTACACTGAAGCATCCTTGTGCCCCAGCCAGGCCCTCTGCAGTACACTGAACTCAGCTGGAGCAGCCCTGGGCTGGCAGGCTGACCTCCCAGGCACCCTGCTTTGACCTGGCTCAATGTGCTATGGTCTGGCTGCATGTGTAAAAATCCTGGGAGCTTCCTGGGAGCAATAAACTACAGAGCAATAACCTCTGAAGTTTATTCATGAACTGTAATGGCACATTTGCAGATAGGTGTCTCTTCTCATTTGCAGGTACTAGCTGCTGTGGAAAACCAGGCTTCTATTATAAGTCCAAAAATGGATTTGGGGTCTATTTTTTGGTTCTCAAGCTGATATATTTCCTCTTTTTGGGGTAAATAAATGGTGTATATACTTTTAGCCAATAAAAAAAATTTGGAACTCCTATACTCACCATGATTAGCAGCCCCATTCCGTCTTTCACTGTCTTCTACCTGGCACTTCTTTTTGGCAATCTTATGAAGAATTGAGGCTCTCTCTCTGAATTTTCCTTTAAAAAAAACATTGTCATTGTTGAAGTGCATCCATTCTGACATTTTTTTTGTAGTAAATTTTGCTTCAGGACTCAAAACCAGTAAGTTATTTCTATCCTACTGAATGAGCTAACACATTATTAATCATTTTCTGGCTTTCCAGCGTCTACAAATTGTGATCACTTATGTACTTAAGAATTTAAAAGATGTCAGCTGGTGCTTTAGAAATCAAAGAGAATGAACTAAGAAATTATTTTTTCTGGTTAAGCATTCAATCAGATTTTCATAATAAAGGTACCAGTGTAAACCATTGAACACAAATTATATAATAAATGTATTTTAAAGAAAAAGCTCTATGGTTGGTCCACAACCTGCAGTATTACATTTCCATCCTGATACCTGTGTTTGTGCTATTTCTCTATGAACCTTTTTTCTAAAACCAGTCCCATGGCATAAAGGCAAATTTTTGCATTCCCTGCACAACCCAAACACCCACTGAAATCAGTTGGAATTAAGGGGGCACAAAGTTTACAAGTTTTAGACCAAAAGGTATTGAATTAAAAAGCATTATTACTCAAAGGATGCATTATATTAATACACCATTAGTAACAACAGGAAGCACAGAGAAGTTATGCATACAAAATCTTGGTTTAGATATCAGTGTTTCCAAATGTAAGTCAAAATTACATTAAAGACAGGCAGTAAATGAAATGGAAGAATGAATTATCAGCTAATAAACAAATATACCCCTTCCCACCAAAATGTTTTAGAAAGCAGAATATCACAGTGGAATGACTGCATGCTAATACAGAAAGGGGCAAGTAGTTATCATTTAGGGAAAAACAGAATTAATCTGTCAGTCACAATATAAGGTAAATGATAATAAAGAGACCTTATTACAAGCTCTGAGTACTACCCTTTCAGCTCTACATATGTTACTACCAAAATATCACACTGTAAAAAAATATCTGACCATCTAGAAGAACAGCAGAAAATACCACAAGCAATTTTCTTATCCATTACAAAAATAGTTAATATGGAAGTATTGGAAATTCTTTGCTCTATCATGGATATGGTGAAATAAAATAGCCAAGAGACCAGAGCAATACTGAAAACCAAGAAGCCAACTCTCACTTCAGTACACACGGTCAATGTCAAAAAATAAAGTTCAAACACACAGAAGATAACAAGACAAAGTGCAGAAAAAGAGAGACAAAGGAAACATCCGAAGTCTGAGTTGAGGTGAAAAGAAAAAGGGACAAAAATGAACCAGAATGGTCTTGCCAATTATTTTATACTGAAATCCCTAAAATACTAAGTCCATTTCCATTTAAAATACTTTAAAGTGTTTCTAGAGAAATGTGTTTGTAATTTTGCATGTGCCTGACTTATCCGATAGAAAACATGATGCATTTCCATAAACCAGGGAAGATTTGTGTTTGCACGTATGCAAATATGTAAGGTTACATTTGTGCATAGTGGGGAGTGGTACAGTGTACAAGTATAGTCCGCAAACACTTTTTGAGGAGCTGGCTTGTCATGTCCCATATGTATTGATGAACTTTTGGGAGCAAGGGAAAATGAAAGAAGGAGGATTTTTTTTTTTTTTTTATAAGTCTCAAATTGTATTTTGTATGTAACGTTATTCAGCAATTTCTTTGCTGAAATTTCAGCTTGTGTTCTAAAATGATTTCCCTTTTGGCATTTATACTTGTGGGTGTGGGTCAGCTGTATGTCCCCTCTCTTCCCCAGGACTCACCTGCCGCGATTAAGATAGCAAAAAGATTTAGATGTTAATCCCTGAGGGGAGAGGGTTAGAAACACCAGATCACCTGGGTGTTAGTTTCACCACTATGCCTATCTTTACTGAAGTGGATACAACATAGCCCACCGCACTAATTGCCTCATTAACGTGGAAGCAGCTGTATCACCACTTAGTTGATTGCAGCTTCCCTGCTGCTCTGTTCCAGTTGCAGCTGTCTCTCTGCTGCTCCTACTGAGAGCCAGTTGTCTCTGGGGATCCTTCTCTGGGGTCTGGTTCCCCAGCCTTCCCAGGGTCTTTCCAGCCACCCAACAGCTCCTGTGACCTGAGTGAATTTTCCCTGTAGCTCCCATCCCGATTGAGGCCGTCTCTCCGCCGCTTCATTCGAGAGCTGGTTGTTTCCTGGAGCTCAGTCTCCGAGGGTTGTGTTCCCAACCTCTCTGGGATCCTGCCAGCTGACTGCTGGCCACCGCCACCTGGGGTAAGTATCCCCCATCTCACTGGTCTGATGTCCAACTTGCTTGCCTTGCCCACAGCATCCTTCTTGCTCTGTTGGCTTCGCAGCAACCACTCTCCTTCACTCCAGTGCCCCGAGGGCAACTGCTTGATTTCTAGCTCGAGCCCATTACACACCTCCCCCATTTTGTTCAAAGAAACCTAAGTTGCTGAATCTTCACAATCCCCGGCGCAGTTGGTTGGACCCTTTGCCCTTTCACCTGTTGCGTCTTCGGTTTGTGACAGGAAATCAACATTCCCGCTCTTCTTTTCCACCCGGTGCTTCACTGTAAAATAAAAGGATTGTATAGCGAGAGACCATCTCATTAGCCTAGCGTTATCTACCTTGGCTGCTTGTAGTCAGCGTAGGGGTGCATGGTCTGTGATTAATAAGAACTTCCAGCCTACTGAGTAATAATGAAAGAGTTCCATCCCCCACCAGATAGCCAGGCATTCCCTCTCAATTGTGGAATATTGGGTTTCTGCGAGCATCAGTTTTTTGCTAGCAAAGGCTATTGGTCTCTCTTCTGCCCCTCCTTCTTGGACGAGGATAGCTCCTAATGCAGTGCTGGAGGTGTCCGTTTGTAAAAAAAAAAAGCATCTTTTCAAAATTGGGGGTATACAGCACTGGGTGCTGGCATAGGGCTGCCTTAACTTGTTTGAAGGCTAGGATGACCTGTGGGTTCCACTGGATCCAGTTCCTCCATCCTCTGGTCATCTCTATCAAGGGCACCGCCTTCTCTGAAAAATCCTTGATAAAGCACCTGTCGTAGTTGGCGAAACCCAGGAAAGACTGTAGCTGTCTGAGTGTTTGAGGCAAAGGGAGTTGTTGTATGGCTGCCACTTTATTAGCTATGAGCTTTATTTTTCCCTGTTCAACCATGAACCCAAGGTACTGGGTTTCTCTCTTTCCCAGTGTGCACTTCCAGTGATTCACAGTCAGCCCAGCCTGTCGGAGTTCATTGAGGATCTCCCATAGGTGGTGGCAGTGTGTTTCCCAGTCGCCGGAGAAAACAATGATGTCAGCAATATATGCGGCCGCCAAATGGCATCCTCCTGAATTGGAATAAGCCCCATGGGGTTCCAAAGACAGTTTTTTCCTTGATGGTCGGTGCCATCAGGATCTGCCGATAGCCGTTTGTGAGATCCAAGGTCGAGATGTATTTGGCTTGGCCTACCTTTTCCAACATATCCTCTACCTGGGGCATAGGAAAGGCATCAAACGTTGCTATTTCGTTTAGCTTGTGATAATTGATGCACAACCTTATGGAGCCATCTGCCTTTGGGACCACCACCATCGAGCTTCTCTAGCGGCTCCTAGATTCCTCAATGATGTCCAACTTCTTCATCACATCAACCTCCTGCTTGACCGCAGGCCACAGGTGCCAACGTAGCCTTCTCCAATGATTACGTACAATCTGTCTGGGTGGGGTCTGCATGCAATGTGCTACTCCCTGGGGTTCCCCCGGGATCTCACAGAACACATCACAATATTCAGTTATTAAGGTCCCCAAAGTCTTTTGTTGTTCAAGGTCTAGTCAGTCTTGGTGGGGCCTCCCCCAACCTCCAAGGTTCCCTGTCCCCTTCTAGTTCTTCACATTCAGCTGGATCCTGTATCATCCACCCCTCCCTTTGACACCACTTCTTCTCCTCATGGGCTCTGTCCGAAGCATCTCATAGTTGATGGGCTCTGTACGCTTAGTTACTTGAAACAGACCCTGCCATCGAGCTAATAACTTTTGTAGACTATCAGGTAATAGCGCTAGCACCCAGTCTTCGGCCTTCAGCTCTCTTTCCATGGTATGCATGTCATAGTGCTGTATCTGTCTCTCTTGCCTCTGTCCCAGATTCTCTTCAGCTATCGTCAGGGCCTTCTTTAATGTGTCCTAAAAGTCAGTCACAGTCTGTGGTGGTGTTGTCCCCTCAGGCTCAGTTTCCCACCATTTGCAGATCACGTCCAGGAGTCCCCTTGGGTCATGACCAAAATCCAACTCAAATGGGGCATACTTGGGGGACTTCCCTGATTGAGAACAGAAGAGGGGATCAACGCATCCCACCCCCAAGGGTCACCCTATATGCATGCCCGTATCATCCCTTTTAGTGTCGGATTGAAGCGCTCCACCAGTCCTTCTCTCTGGGGATGATAGACGGAGGTCCTGAGTTGTTTGATTTTCAGTGTGTTGCACATCCCCCTCAGGATTTTGGACATGAAATTTCTGCCTTGGTCAGTGAGAATTTCCCAAGGGATTCAGACCCATGTGATCCATCTCATAAGGGCGCTAGCTATCATGGGGGCAATCACTGAGTATAGGGGAACAGCTTTGGGAAACCGTGTGGCGTAACCAATGATTACCAGGATGAATTGGCAGCCTGTTCAGCTGCAGGGGAAAGGTCCCGCCACATCCATGGCAATCCTATCAAATGGTTGCCCTGCCAATGGCAGTGGTATCAGCAGGGTCTTGGCTGGTCTTAGCCCCTCTGTTTTTTGACACTCGGGACATTCAGTGCAAAATCGCTCCACCATTTTGTACAGGCCTGGCCAGAAGACCCGTCGCTTCAACCTGGCTTCCGTCTTGTCCCTCCCCAGGTGTCTTCCCATTGGAAGAGTATGGGCTACCTGAAGCAAGTCACCCCAATATTTCCATGGGCCTAGGATCTGTTGTTTTTTGTACCCCTCTTCTTTGTCCTCCATTTGGTACAGGATGCCCATTCTTACCTCAGAGTGGGGACTCAGCTTCGCCTTCTCAGGGTCTACCACTA